CCAAGTGGTTAATTATGTTAATGGGAGATTAAATGAATGCATTAGAAGTGAATTAACAATAGAGATAATTAAATTTTAATATTTAAAGTGTATGGAAGGGCGGTGGATTAATGAGATTAATTAACCTAACCTTAGAATTAGTATCTAATCACAAGTGTTAATTATGTTTCGGCATTATTATGATTGTAAAATTGGTGATCATTGTGTTGATAAGCCACGTGTACGAGGAAATTTAATTGCTAAGAGTAAAGGTAACTTTTACTATTATATTGTGGTATGTGTTGTGTGATTGGTTATCTGTATTTTATTTAAATGAAGTGTCGTTTGAAAAATATATATTTGGGGAATATATAATTATTATTTAGAAATAAATTACTAGTGGGATAAAAAATTGACATATGTAATTATGTGCGGCATGAAATTGTTATGTTTGAAAGTATAAAATATTGTTTAGAATTTATAATTGTTTGAAATCATGTATGCATGACTTGTTCAGTCGTCGGCAGTTATTTAAGAAACTTTTGTTCGAAAATAAAATATACCATGTGGTACTTCGTTATCTAATCCATGAGTAACACTTTATTGCTTGAACTAGCTTACCTTTGGCCAAGTGCATTAGGTGCAAGCATGGACTTTGGTCCTAGAGAAAGGAGAAAATAAGGTGATAGTCTTGCATATTTTATTCAACTACATTCAAAATTGTTTGGAATTTGTTCAGATTAAATTGATTGAAAACTATTTTGTATACCCCAGTTAGTAATCGCATAATTAGTTGCATGCCATATATTATGGCAAAGTAGTTTTGATTACTGAGACCTTTATGTCTCATTCCCAGTGATTAATATTTTTATAGGAGCAAATCTAGATAGAGAAGCACCTGAGGTTTAGACTTGGTGTATGAAATACTGCTTTATGTTATTATGCCTCATTTTGTGATATAATGTATATTTGCTAACATAGGGAAATTTTGAATATAATTGAGCATGTAGATTCTATTTTTTTATATACTATGTATATGTTGGCTATGAGAATTATGCCCAGTGCTCATGATCTTAATTTTCTATGTTCAAGGATTTATATGTATTTTGAAGATAAATTTAATTATATTCAGCTTTATATAAATTGTGTTAGATGATTGTAATTCAATTATAAATTTTATCTGTATCTAGTTGATGATAGGAATTGTATACGATGAAGTGGATAATTATGTTGTTATTAAGTTGTTCACACTAAATGTTGGCTTTGATTTGTGTAGTGAAGTTTATTGTTTGGGAATTGTCGTTTGGGCCCTAAATGAGTTTGTGGATACAGTTTTTCATATGAAAATGATTAGGTATCAAGCCAAAGCCAATGAATAGATTTTGTTGTATATTTTAGGGTGAACACTTGAATCACTTGTTTGGGTATTTTGAAAATAATTATGCAATATTTTAGTTTAAAAATGTCTCTAGAAACTCTGATTTTATGTGTATATAATTTATTACATAATGTAGTTTCCAAGTCTTGTTTTGAAAATGGTATCCTATTAGGTAGATTTTTTTGTTATGGTGTCCCATTAGGGAGATTTTTTTTTATGTTTTAGTAAACTTTTAAATTATCATGGTAGGATTTTTTTATTATGATCAACTGTTTTCTATCATGGTAGAATCTTTTTAACCATGGTAGTCTTTTTATAAAATGTTTTATTAAATTGTGAACAACCTTTTCCCCAACATGATAAATTTTTATAAAATTTTATTAAACAAGGATTCATTAAAAATAGAGTGTTACACGTAGTGTATTGAGCTATATTTAAAGAACGATGAGATTTGAGCTACATAGTAACTAATAAGCTACAACAAATGCAGTTTTTAAGTGAGTTCGAGATTAAGCTAGATATGACTTATGAAGGACATGTTTGGCTCGTGATTGTGGTGTGTTGTGGTTGGTACTTGGTATATATGTTGAGGTAAGTGAGGTGTATATATTTCTTTTAATAATATTTATAAATTACTTTTAATATATTTTTTTAAAATTAACAATTTTTAAAATTCAACTAACTCGATCTAAAATTTAAAAAGTCATTAATATTATACCTATTAAATATATTTTTAGTAACATACTTTCCTTCACTAATATTTAATGGGAATAAAAAGAAAAATTTATGATAAAATTTAATGACATGACTTATAAATATGACACACCCTATATTTAAAATTGTAAGGCATTTTTAATTTAATTTTTTTAAATAAATTATTTAATTATTTTTAAACTAACATCATGTTTACACATTCACTCTTATTCAATGGAGTGCTTTACTTAAAAATAAATATAAAATAATTTATTTATTAAGAAAAATTTTAAAAAAATACATTAATTACACCTCAAAATATAAAAAATTATATTTTTAAATATCTAACCTCTTAAAAATGTATTTTTTAATGGATAAAGTATAAAAAATTCTTTCTATTTTATAAATAGAACAAGAGAGAGTAGTGCTTTTTTTTTAATATATAAATTATCCGATATCTTGAGGTATCTTAAGTTTATTGCCCACCCAAGACAAATTCAGACTCTTGTGAGGAGACCTTATGATGGTAGTGAGATATTAATAGGACAACCTCTTTAAGGTTACGTTAATCATTGCGTCACGGTTCAAACTTTCGCCCTGAGAAATGCTAGTAGTGCTTTTTGTTTTTTAAGTATAATTTTATCATTCAAAGCCCATGTATTGGGCCAAGAAAAGGAGGCCATGAGATGTGATTAAAGTAGTGTGAAAGTTAATTAGAATTAAATGTGTGAAGAATATAAGGCCTATTTGAAAACTTATTTTGAGAACAGTTTTCTGTTCTTCAGAACAAAAGAATAAAAAAATTTATTTGGTAACATGTTTTTAAAAAGTGTTTTGGAGAACAAAAAAATAAAATATTGTTCTAAAGAACAGGAAAATGGAAACAATTTTAAGTGTTCTGTGATTATTGTTCTGGAGAATAAGGGAGAATAAAAAAATATCTATTTTTATTATTATTTTTTCTCATAACATGTTCTACAAAACATCATTTTTCAGAACAATAAAATAAAAATAATTTTAAATAGTTCCATAATTTTGCCAAGTCTCTCCTCCTAGCTCCTTTCGACATTCCACTATTCAGAACACTTGTAAACCACCCTTTACTCCTATATATGACCAATGTGATACTTATAACACATACTTTGATTATTTTCCTATTGCATCTTATAGTTGCTTCATGTAGTTACGGTGGCTTTTTCTTTTCTTTTTAAATACATGGTCACTACAAAACTGTGCAAAAAAATATTCAGTTCATATTAGAGCAAATAATGCTTCTGTATTCTAAGATTGGATCTACACAAAAATTGTAGTATCTAATTAGATGTGTGACAAGCAAGTTAATTAGTACATTTATTCATTTATCTGAAAACATGCTCAAAATTACAATCCAAATTCCAATTTCTCAAAACTAAATCTTTGATAATGTTGATAAAGACTTCTCGTTTCACGCTAACTTCAATATTAATATTAATATTAATATTAATATTTATTATAATCCCTTGAAGCCTTTTTATCTGAATTATTTATTACCACTGGACTTGGCATCAAAGAAACGGGTTGACACCAACAACAATAATAAAAGCATCTGTCAATTCCATTATTGATCATTTCAATCATCCATTGTTAACAAGCCCCACATAATTAAAGATCAATTCGTCGAACGTGTAATTAATAATATTTATTTATAAATGGACAATGGTTTCGCGTGAATGTTCAGAGTATACATATTTCGAAAGGACATAATCATTAATTAATTGGCCTCTTTATTTAATGCGATCCCCTTGATTAATAATTATTGTGCTTTTGGATATCCCTTTTTTCCCCCCTTCAAGATATTCCATCCTCATCGGTACATGTTCAGTGCAGGAAATCACCGCCCAACAGCCGTGTCTCCTGATCCTACTTTACTATTTTACTGTATATAGGATTTAACTAAAAGATTATACAGCGACTAACTTGTCGTGTCGTTTGATTTAGATCATATTGTATTTAATTAAAAAAAATAGAGCCGTCTTAGCCGTTTAAACAAAAATAATTAGACCGAGATGCACAAAAACATCTAACATCCACGGTTGATCAGATCCTCGGCTTTAATCTTTATTTAATTTTATTCTTTTATTCATCTTAACTGATCATCGTGATTCATGATCAGAACGCGGTAATCATGATGGACCACTATTTCTATAAAGAGTTTAATAAGAATTCACGTATACCTGGATGAATACTAGCACTTCTTATGGATTATATATTATATCAACAATATTAATTCCGCAACTAAAACATCACTTGTTTAATTTCAATTTAAGTATATGTTCTCAAAAATATTTTAAATAGCGTTAAGGATTTTTTATGCGTGCATGTTTGCATATAATTCATGAAAAGCTATATTATTCACAATTCTTCCACTAAATTTGCTTATTTGCATTCGGCATATCAACACATGGGTTCATCTAATTTAGATATATTGGTAATAATAATGGCTGTTAATTAATGAGTAAGTACGATTTACAAAAAATAAACAGCAAACCAATCATCATGGCCAAGTCTGACAACAAACTTTTAAATGCTGTTCCTCACTTTAATCACTCGTTATTGCAAGACGCATTCACTTTTTGTACTTTCCGGAGATATCGCCACACTTTTTTGAGTTGTACAATATTGACTAGAAATGACGAACACGGGACTCTCACATCTCACTATTGATTATTCAAGCTTTTAATTTTTTTTAAAAAATATTGTTCCTATATATCATTCCAGACACAAGATTGAACGCACATCATATGTAAGTTCAGCCATACTTTTTTCTTGTAAATTAATTCTATCTGGACCTGTTTGCATATCAAATGAACGCACTATCATTTCAGTCGCGAGAACGATAAATAATAATAACACCGATATATATAAGACATGTAAACTCATTAAATCACCCACAGTCTCACGTGCAAAGATTCCTTTTAACTCGGGTATAGTGGTATGAATGATCCTTTAATTTATTCATCACTGAACAAAATTAATCATTCAATCCTTGCCTTTCTACGTGTATATCGATAGACCCACATACATACACAAAAACTACACATGCTCCATATAAGTAGGTAACCATTAATTTCCCATTTTGCTTTTGATCAAGGTAATCATAATGCAACAACGTTAAAATAATGTCTTCCTCCTCTGACTCCACCGACGCCGATCTCCCCTTGAGACCAATCCCAGGAGGCTATGGCCTCCCTTTCATCGGAGCCGTCTGTGACAGGTTCGATTTTTTCTACGTCAAAGGCCGCGACGACTTCTTCAGATCACGAATGGACAAATACAAATCCACCGTCTTCAGAACCAACATGCCTCCTGGTCCATTCATATCTCCAAACCCTAGGGTCATCGCCCTTCTTGACGCCGTTAGCTTCCCCGTCCTCTTCGACAGTTCCAAGGTTGAGAAACGCGACGTCTTCACCGGAACTTTCAAGCCCTCAGCCGGATTCACCAACGGCTACCGTGTCTGCAACTACCTAGACCCGTCGGAACCCAAGCACGACCAAATCAAGAGCTTCCTCCTTGCTCTCATCGCCTCCCGGAAAGACCAGGTAATCCCACTGCTGAGAAACTACTTAACGGAGCTGTTTGTTAAGGTTGAAGACAAGGTATCAGACCACGGCGAGGTATACTTCAACCCTATCAGCCAAAACGAGCTCTTCAACTTCTTGTTTCACCTCTATTGCGGCAAAGATCCGATTCAAACCGTACTCAAATCTGATGGCTTAAAACTCTTCCAGTTCTGGGTGTTTGCGCAGGTAGCAATGATGACGCGTTTCGATTAACCTTGGCCTGTTAATCAATATCACTTTTCTCTTGGATCATATTAAACCGATCAAATCAAGCACGGCTTTAATTTGTATCTGCAGGTTTTACCTCTTGGATCTCTTGGGCTGCCATGGTACCTCTTCCCTCTCAACGTGGTAGAAGATTTGCTCCTCCATACCCTGCCGCTTCCCAGCTTCTTGCTTAAATGGCACCTCAAGAAGCTTTACAATGCCGTTGCAACTTCAGCCACGGAAGCGTTCGATTTAGCTTCAACTTTCGGGTTATCCAAAGATGAAGCCTGCATGAACTTGCTCTTCGTTCTGGGCTTCAACTCTTGCAACGGGATGAAGGTCGTCGTCCCCACCTTGATGAAGTGGGTCGGACTAGCCGGAAAGACCCTGCACCAGAAAATCGCCGATGAAGTCAGAAGCGTCGTGAAAGAAGGCGGGGTCACTTTAACGGCGCTGGAAAGGATGCCGTTGGTGAAGTCAGTGGTGTGGGAGTCCTTGAGGATTGAGCCTCCGGTGGCATACCAGTACGCGAAGGCCAAAGAGGACATAGTTGTTCGAAGTCACGACGCTGCGTTTTTGGTGAAGAAAGGAGAGACGCTGTTAGGGTTTCAGCCATTTGCTACGAAGGACGAGAAAGTGTTCAAGGATGCAGAGAAATTTGTGGAGGACAGGTTTATCGGAGAAGAAGGAGAGAAGCTGTTGAAGTACGTGTATTGGTCGAACGGGCAGGAGACGGAGGAGCCGGCAGCGGCGAACAAGCAATGTGCGGGGAAGAATCTGGTGGAGTTGGTTCTACAGGTGTTTGTGGTGGAGTTCTTCTTGAGGTATGATAGTTTTACAGTGAAGCTGGGAAAGCCTACCTTGCAAGGTCCAACAGTTACCATCACTTCCTTGGTCAAAGCCTCAACCATTTGAAATCGTTCATGGTCAAATTTTCATTTTAACAAGCAAGAATAATGAATATGGATAATAAAATCATGATTTCTGCTATGGCATCAGAAAGGTTTTGGGGAGTACTGATGATCAATAATATCAAGTAAGGGATAGATATAATCAAAATTAATGATGATAAGTGTGAAAAGTGTTTGATACACGAGATATTGAAGTTACATTAGTGCTGGTAAAAAAAGAGAAAAGCTTGATCAGCGCGCTACTTTAAGATTTTTGTCACCATGTTTTTCTTGACATTTTTATAGTTTAACATTATTTATACGGGCTATTAAAAATTCTGTATGCATAATCGATTTATTGAAAAATTAATTTCATAATAATCAATCGTGTGCATGACCATTTCCATGTGTATCCCATATGTAATCACTAATTAACCTCCAAACGATCCAATAATCAAGGGAATCTAGAGGAAATTTTAGTCCCTGTGAGATCTTGTAGTACTCTATATACATATATATATATATATATATATATATATATATATATATATATATAATTTATGTGAAATGACTGACTCATTGCCAGGCCATGTCCATTAAATAAGATTTTTTGAACTTAATTAAAGCGTTGCAGTAGAAAAAAAAAATTACGCATGTAACAATAAGCCTAAAAGTTAAAGATGTAACAAAATTTATACCTTCATGTAACAATCAGAGATGTAACGTATATACTCTGGGGAAAAATTATTAAAGTTCTCAAATTATAACAGTAGTGCCAAAATTAATGCTTATTTAACTAGTCTTTGATTTTTATATTAACTCTTGGGGAAAAAAATTACTCAGTTTAAACTTCTTTTCTAAATGGATGTCCAAATTTTAGAAATGAGTGATCGACACATACTTGACAGAAAACTTTTAACCTGATAAATGTAAGTGAATACAAATTAAAAAGTAGTTCTTTGTTCTTGCCACCCAACATCGTAAGATACGCATTATACGGAGTATATCCTCAGAAAATTATACCCCGCAAGACACAAATGTGCTGAGATAAAGTAATTAATATTATTAATGATAAAAAGTAATACACCGATCACGTTATTACGTAGTTAGACGTGCATCAACTTGACTCTTGAGTTAGGAGGCTTGGTTAGAATTTATTCCATATCTGGTAATATTATAAAATTCTGAACACGGTCATTAAAAAAAAAAATTGAACCCCGCTTCTTCTTCTTCTTCTCCTTTTTTACCGAAATAAAAATTTGAACCTCGAATCACAACTATCTACTTTCCATTCGATATATCCTCTAGTTGTTATCATCTGGGTAAATCTCACATGACTTGTTTGATATTTTATTTAGCCTATAGGCATGTCAACAAAATGTTTAGTAAAAGTTTGTAGTCAAATTTACAAAGTAGCTAGCCTCTCAAAAATGTTTTTATATTCCAGCCAATCTATTATCTCCTCATTTACGGGTAGTCACTTTTTATTTCTAACATTTTACCCAACCTAGTAAACTAAAGTTTGAATTTATGTTAAAAGAAATGCTTATAATTAGTACCTCTTTGAATTTATGTTAAAAGAAATGCTTCTAATTAGTACCTCATCATACCTTAAACATAATTATTGCCTCTAATAAAGTGATACATGTGCACAATCAAAATATAATACATTGTGGAGTGCTTGGTTTAACTGGTTAAACATGTTGAATCAACTGATTATAGAGTCTTGAGTTTGGGTCGTAAGATATACAATCACTTTAAATAAATATACCAAAAATATCTCAAAGTACCCATAAAGCCATCATTGATAATAAAACAATTACACACACACTGTATCATATCATGGCTACCTTACCCTTTTTTTTAATATAATTATTTATTTGTATGAGTATATGGTGTTTCAAATATTTACATACACTACCGCATACAAAAAATATTTTTTACACCTGGTTTTCATATCAGTTAAAAAAACCAATGTAAAAAGTGTTGTGGCTTTTGTACACCGGTGTATATCTTTGAATTGACTCTCTACACTCTGACTCTATCTTTTCTTTTTACTTTGGCCAATGTGGGTTAGGAAGATATATATATATATATATATATATTGTGACCAGCATAGATTAACATTAGTTATCTCATATATATAGACACACATCTTATATTATATTTAAATAATATATTAACATTTTTTTTGGAATGCAAACTCTCAAGCCTGTGCCGTGTAGTTTGAAGCATTGCAGCGAACCACAGAGACAGGATAGCAAGCATACATATTTTTTATGATATGTTTATATTAACATATATTAAATAAATGCAATTGTTATATTTGGCATGAATAAAACCCAAATACGTACTACCCATAAAAGTTGGTCCAAGTTCCTATACTTTTATGATGTTAGTTTTTATATGTTTTTTTGTTATTTCAAGGTCCTTAAGTTTTACTATTTATTTGTAATGTTATGCAAAGTGTTACATATTCAGGGATAATAGTATTAGGAGTTTTTTATTCTTTTCTGCAATTTTTTGTCTTATCTATAATTTTTAAGTTATTTATTGTAATTCAAAAAATTTAAAAACGGATATCAAATTGATAAAAGAAAAATAATTAGAATTAAAATTTTTTTGATATCACAAAAAATTTAAATATAATTTTAATGTTATTTATTTTATGGATTAAGAATTAAATAAAAAATGAATTCAAAATATTAAAAATATTTCTAAATTTTTATTATTTATTATCTTCTCTCCTATGTGTGTTATCTTTCTCATTAAAAAAAATTTAAATATAAACTCATATTATTTTTTTAATGAATTTATATTTGTGATTTCAATCATTAACAACTAATATATATTTAAAATATTTCTATAAAAATTAACAAATTATCAATTTACAAATTATAACAAAATTTTTATTTATAAATTGTAAGAAAGATTTACATTATCTTTTAAATGTAAACAACATATTTAGGAGTTATAAATTATAAATTTAAAAAATATTATCATTATTATAAATTTATAAGAAAATATATTACAATTAAAAAAATAAATTAATTTTTTTAAAAAAAATAGGCTAGCCAACAGGTCAATTCATTTTACTAATTCCTTCAACCAAATCTATCAAAATTGCTGGGTTAAATAAGCTAATCTATAAGCTCAATCCATTTTTTCAGCTCTATATACTTACTAATAAAGTTCTTATATTGACAACAGAGTTTGGTGGTGTGGTAAGATATTTGGGTTTTATATCAAATATAATCATATAAAAATTGCATTTATTTAATATGTCAATATGTTATTTAAATATAATGTGCAATGCATAATGGGTGTTCGCATAAGATAACTAATGGTCACACAAAATGGGAGAATTACATCCAATATTAATTACTCACATGTCTCTAAGTTCAATTATCAATGAATTTGAAAATAATTAATTGTATTAAGTGAAATCTTAAAATAATATTCCTAACTGTAATCAGCCGAAGGGAAAAAAATTAGTCAGAGCAGGTGCCCCAAAAAATGAAAGTGGGTATGACGTGTCAGCACCTAATATGAGGTTTCCAGGTCTTTACTCCTCAGTCTTCACCATTGCTCAGTGACAACTGGCAAAAACCTTTGACCTTTGGACCAGATTTAACAAAATAAACGGCCAGGATCTGCACCAAGGGACAAAAACCAGGGGAGGTTCCGTGCCTTTCTGTGAGTTCGTAACAATGAGTTAGAGCTTAGATTTTTTATTCAACAAGTTCATTATATACTACGTAGAAATCAATTCATAAAATTGATAAGATTTAATTTACAAAAAATAAAAATCAAAAATCAAAAATTAATATTAATAAAAATGAAATATGAAAAATAGGTTGTCCTATTTTAAAATTTTTATATTGAGTATGATAATCTATCAATGCATATTAATTTAATTTTGATAATTTAGATTTGAAATATATATAAATTAAATTATGATCACATTTTTTATTTAAATTATTTAATCATGTACTTTTAACATGTACTGTATTTATTAATAAAAGTAAGCTCATATATTTAAATTTATGATTTAAGTTTATATTCCTGTCATGAGTTTATTAATAGGTCAGATTTATATATTGTTTTTGATATGATCGATTTAGCTTTCAATTTGTTGGCCAAAAAAAATTATTTAGCTTTCAATTTGAAGTAATTAATTATGATATAAAATAGTTAGAAAATATAATATATTGTCTCACTAAATACTTTATGTGTTTTGTAGAGAAAGCAAGTTAAAAAGGACCCAAAACATTAAAGGTGAAAAAATAGGCCGGTTTGGCCTTTAAGTGCTTAGGCCCTTAAGCTTGTTTTTCAAAAAATGATCAATTTTTAAAGTATGGCCTTTATTTGAAGGGTTTAGGATTGGCCTATAAGCCCGTTTTATTTTAAAAAAATTTAAAAAATAAAAAAATAAAAAAATAAAAATAAATAAAGATATAGAATCTTAATCAAGTTTTAAAATGAATATTGAAATTTTCAATCCAATCAATCTTATCAAATCTAATAAATACAAGAACTTGTATTAATATTAATCAAAATCAAAAAATAAACCTCACAAATTAATCATGTTTAAGAAATTAATAAAATTTTGTCGATATTGTGATAAAATAAATTGTAAAAGAATCAATACCAATTATTTTGATAATAAAATACTTAAAAATTATTGATTTTTTTAAGAAATAAGGTTTGGAGGGTCGTCCAAATTTAAATTTTTTTTCAAAATCTATTAAAGTTGAGTCTAAAAGTTTTAATTTTCCAAAATTTCATTAATTTTTTAAGTCTAAGCATTTATTTAAATAAGATCTTCAAACTCCCATCCTTCAAGTCGCATCCTTATTTTAGACTCTTCAGAACACACCAAAAGACAAAGGAAAAGCTGAAAATGTCAGTACGTGCTTCGACAGCAGGCGCATGAAATGGCAAAGGATTTGACAATGGTGGATGGAAGGGCTGGCATGGGCCCTCACTGCAAGCAGACGAAAATACAAAAGGCACAACCGTGGGCGGATGAAAAATCAGAAACAAGCGTTAAGTCCTAACTGAATAGTGAATAGCTATTTACTAGTTTCTTTGTTATCTATTAGTGCTTCAGTGTTCATGAATCATAATAACAATCATTAATTTTCCGTTGAGGTGAAATCGAAGCAAATTTGTGTTTAATTTGTTGATTGCTTCAAAAG